GAGAAAGTAATGCTTGTCACTTACTGGCAGGAAGCACATCCTCAAAATTAAAAGAAAAAATCAAGTAGGGCAACTGGAATGCTAAAATATCATGTATAAGAAACTACAAATAACAACACATCTTTGAAAACACCATCATATTAKCTCCACTGGATTTGCCAGTCTCTCATAATGAGCCCAACTCATTGCCAGTAGCCTTAGTTACACCAACAACCAATATAGTCTGACAGGGACATGGTCTCAGTCTTGTCAAATTCTGTGGCGATCCCGCTGTGGTGATTCCTCTGGATCCAGGGGTGTACACATCCAGTCATAGGGCATTGGTCAGAAAACACTTTTCGGGTGCTGAAAACCATTTTACACTGAAGAGTAGTCCYTTCTGAAGCACTAAAATCTCCTCCCTCCTCCCTGTCCCAAATGTTCTTCACCATAACTTTTAAGCAGACACAGACAAAGGTAGAGCAGAAAATTATACAGAAAATGGCACAAAAAATGTTTTGCTAGCAGCCTCTAAGGCCCTATAAGCTGAACCTRCTTGCTTCTATGTGACTAAGCAAGTTTTCATTCTTTTTCCCCTCATCAGGCAGGCATAGCTGTATACTTGAGCTTCCCCAAGCAAATGTTCTGCTTCATCTTAAGACTCCCAGAGGAGCAAACATAAGAGAACATTATGGTCCATTGAAGACCCAACCACGCAYTGCACTGTGCTCCAGCAGAGGAGGTCCCTCAGTGCACTCTGCAGCTTCTTGATGGTGGTTCATGGGAACCTCTATGCAGTGTGTGTGAGTGCATGCAAAATACCAACATCRCCAGGGTGGATGTGCCTACAGACTTCTGGTCAGTAAAGCAGGGCTGATTTGCAATTGAGCAAGCACACATTGTCCAAATATGMTCAGCCTTATGGAGACCAGAATTTAATTTTCCTTAGTGCTCTACCTCAGGAAACAGACTGAATAAAGTGCAGCCCAGATACTTTGGCAACTTTCAAATATCTGCGCTGTAAACTAGAACCCTCATTTCCTCTCACTTTACACAAGGGTACTCCAAATCCTGCAGGAAGCTTACCCAGTCTCAAAGGGCCAGCTACCACCACCAAATCATCCTGTGTGCACTTGCAGTGATTACCCTTGAAGGAAGATGTTGAGATAATGACTTACATGTTGGTTTTGTGTCACCTATTAAAATCCCAAAGCAGATACAAGCACACGAGGTAAAACTTAAACATGCAGTTGAAATGACGTGTGTGAAGCAGCAAGATAAGGAGTTTTGATGTCCTAGCAATACACTCTGAAGCTTTCCTGGGACTCTTCTGCCCTTGCAGTTGGAGATGCTTTGGCAAATGGGTGTGTCGCCATGATATTATCGTGGTTCATTTAAATGTGTGAACATGGATATAAAAAGCTAGGAACTCTCTGAACATCATATCAARCACCACATACCCCCAGAAATCCACACACTAGACACCGTGAGAAGACAAGTCCTGCGTCTAGGAGAGCAGGGCAGGGTGTCAAGGAGTATGTCTTTTCCCAAATTCCTAAATTCAGCCCGGCTCCGAGGTCTCGGACACAAGGACCCTTCCCTCCCTCCCTGTCCCTTACCTGAGCCGCCCACGTTGGACCGCAGCAGGCAGGTTCTCCGGGAGGAGGAGAAGGAGGAGATGTCACTTTGGGAGCGGCCGCGGGGACCTGGCAAGGACCAGACGGGCAGCAGTGCTGTCCCGCTGCTCCCTGGCCTCTCAGCCATCGTCGACAAGGAGCCGAGAAGCGCAGGGAGGAGAGAAGAGGAGGGAAAGAGGCGGCGAGGGAGGGGACAGGGAAAGTTTGCAAGAGGAAGAGCCGCCCCTCTCCTCCGACCGCCCCGCCGGGACGCCGGCGGCGATTTAGGTCTCTGGGAACATAAATTTTGTGTTTGCACAAGAGCAAAGAAAAGCTGGGGGGTGGGTGCACGGGTGCGCCCATCCCCTGGGGTGTATTCATGCTCCCGCCATTGCCATCTCTCGGGGGGGGGAAGAAAGAAAATAGAATCAGTTAAAAAGAGCCGAGAAACCCACACCAGCGCTTCTCTTTTGTGTAACTGGGTGCCCTCCCCGCAGCAAAGCCGGGAGGTTGCACAAGGCATCTCATCCCKGCAGAAGAGCCGCGAGAAGGATGAGTCAAATATCCCCCCACCTCCCTCCCCATCTTTCTTAAGGATTGGGTTGCATGCAAGAGACTTTACTCAACTAACTTGAGGAARGTGCTCTCCTGCCTTTCAGATCAGCCACACAGACTGAGGTAGATGCAAAATTAAGCTTCAAGGTTTCGTTTCCTGGTGTTTTGCAGAAACACTTTTACAAGATGCATCTTTAAAAAGACATTTAGTGTTTACACTGCTTTTTGCAGGCAAATYATATTATATTTTACATGTGGCTGTCCTGCAGCCACAATGACAAAAACAGAAAGGGCYGCACCCTATATTTTAATGCACCCAGAGCCACATTATCTAGCTGTTCAATGTGAAATTTGCATTCAGGCTGCATGAAAACATTTTAACAATTACCACTCTCCAGGTCTGAAACAAAACCTATCAAGTTTGAAATTCGTCCATGCGAAATTCAGTTTCTGGTTTCTGCTTCCACCCAGTCATGCAAGCGCCTTCCTCTCATGCAGTTCCCCAGACACAGGGGTTTTCTAATATTCCCAGCAGTCACCCTCTGCATTTGTCCAAGCAATTGATCCAGTACAGGAGTCTCATATGTCAGCCATTAGTCAAGTCAAAAGGTCTTTTCTGCTCAACTTCTCCCAGGGACTTTCCTTCATTATTTCCTCTCCCTCTTCCCTCTGCTGACGGACCAGCCTGTTCCTTCCCTAGCCACAGAGCTTTCCCAGCGAGACTCTGCTGTGAGAGGGAGAGGCAGGGGCTTCTCCTCACAGGGCAYGGCAGTGAGCTTCATGCTTACAGCCCCTCTACACGGGGCCCAGAGGCTCCATAATCGCACAGGCAGGCATGCTTGGAGAGCTTTTTGCAGCTGCACACACCAGTCTTGTGTTACTCACAAAATGTGACAATGTGCTATTTTTATTATTTACCCTGTGCATTATGCAGCATTACAGGTGTGATTGTACACTGAGGACCTTTTTCCCCACCGGAGATTTCAGTAGCTCGGCATGTGTGGGCTGGTGACATTTTCTGGACCTGTTTAAGTCGTAATCAGAAGTATACTCATCACTGCTATTTACTGAAATGTTTGCCACTTTTTTTTTTCTTTTCTTTTTTTCTTTCTTCCTTTTTTTTCTTGTTTTTTTTAATGTAAGAGATATGATCAAGTTCACTGTTGAAATACACAGTCCTTGCTCCAAACCTCATCAAAGTTTATGGCAGGTCAATGAGCTTTGGGTCAAACACTGAGCTTTTTTTTTGAAATCATCTCTCCTTCCAAATATTTTGAGCCACAGAACAATTGTAACTTTGTCATGCTGTACTGAATGTATGGTTCAAAATTCCCCCWTTAAGGATCTGCTCAGCGTCTGCAATCCTTTGGTGTGATCAAAAAGGAGAACATGAAGAAAGTGAAAGATATACTAGAAAGGATACCATAGCCAGAGGTCAAAGGCCTCTAAAGATTCCTTTGGAGACTCAAAGTGACATCTAAAGTGGGGAAGGCGAAAGAAGATATAAAGTAGGTCAGCAGTGAATGTAAAAGAGATATGAAGAGGCTCCTGTTGCAATATCAAAGTGGTTTGGTAAATCAGAGTAGTGTGAACAGTCAGTCAGAAAGAATAATATTATGGAAGTCACAATGATTTTTATCCACCTGCAMCTTATTATATTAACCAAGGTATATAAATTAAAACATTAGAGAATCATGTGTATCTTGTTTTCATAGCCCTTTAAATATTTTTTTGAATTAGATGTAACAGTTGTGGTTAATGGCTCTGGAAACTGAAGCTCTGTTTTCACAGAGCAGCAGTTAAGTACACATCCTTCCCGGTTGAAGAGAGATCAATTCAGTTGCCTGTTCATTAATTTTCAACTGTTCTGATGAGATTGMCAAAGAAATTTCCATTTGTGGTGATTATGGAAACTTAGTATTTGCTTATTAAACCAAATTATTTCACAAAGGCTATCTCATGGCAGCTGGGAGCTGAAGTATAACTACAGAATTCAGGCATCAGTARAGACTGGGGAAGCACAAACTCAAGYAACAAATTGCTGGAAGATRTATCTTKTAAAGTATGTGCCKGACACCCSTGAACCACAGCACAAATGCCAAGYGTCACCTACTGAACTGAGGCAGCTTCAGCACAGGCCATTCTAACGATCAAAGAAAAGTTTCCTTGACAGGCTTTGGGGCACCTCTGCACCCGGGAGGCCACCACGTACAAACCGGCAGGAAGGAGCGGCAGAGAGATGTTACACCTTGTCCTTCTTGGGAAGGTGAGGGAAGCTGAAGCTGTGGTCAAAAGCGGGCGGGAAGGGCAAACCCAGCAGGCTGCCGAGGCTCTGGAGCAGAGCGGCTGCAGATCCGAGCCTCAGGCCCGGACGGGCTGCAGATCCGGCAGACACCGTCAGGCCGCTCTCGGCGCGCCCAGGGGAGGAGCCGGGGGCGGGGGAAAGCAGGCGGGATGTAACTGGCGTCAGCCCGTTACTTCATTTTCTTAAAATCCTTAAAATCCAGGAGACAATTTGTGGTCGAGCAGTCAGATAAAGCTGCACCGATGGGGACGAGTCCCCGGGTGGGGCGGGAGAGGCGCAGAGGGGCGGCCGTGCTGGCTGAGCGCCGCCAGGGGCAGAGCCAGAGCCCGGCACCCGGGTTTGGTTGGCGGACCAGGCGGAGACAGGAGGCGGGGCGGGGATAGACGGGGCGCTGATAGACCGAGCACAGCCCGTGTCCGTCCCGCCCGTGTTCCCCTTTTCGTCCCAGCCCGGCCGAGCGGCGAGCCCCGCCCCAGAGAGCCGCCCCTGTCCGTGGCCCCGCCGCCGCCATGTCGGGCCCGGGCGGCCGCGCTGCTCTGCCGCCGCCGCTGCTGCTGCTGCTGCTGCTGCTGGGGCTGCTCGGGCCGCTGGCGGCGCGGCCCCGCTACGAACCCACCTGGGGCTCGCTGGACGCCCGGCCGCTGCCCGCCTGGTTTGACGAGGCGAAGTTCGGCGTCTTCATCCACTGGGGCGTGTTCTCGGTGCCCAGCTTCGGCAGCGAGTGGTTCTGGTGAGCTGCAGCCGGAGGGTTCAGGTCGCCCCGGAACGGCTGCGGCGGAGCGGCCCGAGGGCCCTGCTTGGAAAGGCGGGGATGGTGTGGTGTCCCCCTGACAGCGATGGTTTGGGTTGCAGCCCCTCAGGCTGACCCCGGAGCTCATGTGTGTGGGGACAGCTCTGTGCTCACCCGAGGCCAAGGAATCTATGGCGCTGTTTGCGGAGGAAGTGGAGTTTAAAGTGCTTCTGCTGTGTCTGAGCATCTGTCTGCCCAGTCCTAAAACTCGTAAATACCTTCGCTGAAGTGACTTCATTAACCAGAGGGCTGGTAGAACTGAGAGGAGTGCTCTGCAACACAACAGTGCTGGTGAAAGGGGTGGTTGGTGGATGAGGTGGTTGGCGAAATGGCCGAAGGAGACCCCTCTAGGACCACCATGAAGGGATGCATGGAGGTGTTATCCCCTGTGGGAATAGGTGTTTGGGATCTCTCAGCCTCTGGAGCAGCCTTGTACAGCTGTTGGAGAATGTGGAGAGCGCAGGAGTCCATCACTGCCCTTGCTTGGCAAGCAGCCTTGCTGTTTTCTTGTGCATATTTTGTGCTGCTGATGGCTTTCTTCTCAGCAGGTTTTTARTGCAGAATACATTTACTAACAAATTACTTTTGGACGGGTGGGACATAGCTAGGTTTGGGTTCAATCCTCCCTAAGAGTGCTGTGCTCTGATAGTGGTGCACCAATTCAAGATCGTGCATTTGGTTTTCGACCCCAAAACTAATGKAGTTGCTTTTTACATTCCTGTAGCCTCCCATCCTTATGCAGGTTTACGGCTGCTGCAGAGCCTTYTGACAGCATGTGCAATCAGGTAACTGAGGCCCTGTATTAGCAGCTTCAAATGGAAGGTCACAGACTATTACCACCCCTTCTTTTCTCCTTCCCTCAGAGCTGCACAGCCTTGGTAAGGATGTGTCTGGAATCCAATCTTGTTAGCATAGAAGTGTTCATGTTAGCAAACCATGTGACAAAGGGAAAGAAGGCAAGTTGTTACTGTTTAATTTAAGCAATTACATRCTCTGAAATCAGAGGGGGTTTCTTGGTTTGTTTTTATTGTTTTTAATTGTTTTGCTTTATGCTGTTGTTATTTCCTCTGCCCCGGCTCTTTCAATGAGGAAAGCTGTCTCAGCCTCTTTCTTCTAAGTTTTTTCCTCTGCTGGCTGCCAGAGATTGTGTTGGTTTATGCTGAACTGTTTTTGGGAAAGTTACAACAATATTCAGATTATGGTCTTGGAGAACTGAGGTCAGAGTCCAGCTTAGGACAAAAGAGAGAAACTCATTTGAAAYGTTCAAATTCTAGCCTGCTTTATTCCTTCACTTACAATCTATTTTCATACATGTCTAAATTTGACAAGAGGATTTTTGCTGCATGGTTTCATTCATAGAGCAGTGACAGAGGTCCATTTATAAGTGTGTGTTCTTGCAAGAGCAGGTTTTTGGGGGATGTGCCTTCTTCTAGCAGGGTGCCTTTGCTTCTGAGCCTCACATGTGCTGAGGCTGCAGTGACCTGGTCAYAGCTCTCCTGCTCTGGGGCTGTGGACATTAGTTCACACAGCTGCAGTTGTGTAGAGGATTTGGGACTGTCAGAGAAGTAAAGCTGATGGTTCCAATGTTTGTGGGTGGCAGAAATTGCAATGTGGGGGCAGAGCAGAGGTACCTGATGGCTGAGGTGTGAGACTTGATGAGGTGAGTCATGCAAGTCCAGGAAAAAACATTTGTCGTGCCACCTGAACTGCTTACACAGACTGTACCTGCTCTCTAAAACAGTTGAAATTTGGGTGTTGACCAAGACTGTCATTGTTCCCTTCTCAAAGCGTAGCTGCATTTTTCATTGCTTCAGATTAAATTGTGGGACCTTTCCAAAGTGGACTGCTTCAAAGATGTAGACCATGGACAAATCAGATAGAGGAAAGGAAATCTTTGATAATCAATACTGTTCTGGAGCAATTTTGTCTTATTGCCAGTGTTGTGTACCTCTAATGCCTCTACCTCTCAGTGTTAAATAGGAGCTGATGATTTAAATTCTCTTTTCTGTGTCTAAAAATACATCAGCAGACAWGTTTTGTTCTGTATTTTGTAGGTGGTACTGGCAGAAGGAAAAGAGAGAGCCCTATGTGAAATTTATGGAAGCAAATTATCCCCCTGGCTTCAGCTATGAAGATTTTGGACCTCTGTTTACAGCAGAATTCTTTGATCCCAACCAGTGGGCAGATATTCTGAAGGCTTCAGGTGCAAAATATGTTGTCTTAACTTCAAAACATCATGAGGGTAAGTGGAGGCTTTGTGAATGTTCGCTGGTTAGTAATTGTTGCATTTCTGTCAACAGATGAAAAAGGCAGGTGACTTTCCTGCCTTCYAAGAGATATAAAGAAAGCCAGGGAGGCTTACCTGCCCCACCAYAGCCAAAGAGGGAACAAAAACCACCCAAGAAATGTGTAGGTGTTTTCCTGACTCTTGCACAAAAGCTGTGGCTGTGGAGCTTTAATAGAAGGAGCAATAGCTTGTGCCACTGTTTTCTTGCTGTGGGTAAGACAGCCTGAAGTGATGTCAMCTGCTGAGCTTCCTGCAGTGGCCATAATTTGTTTTTTATTTCTGTGCAATTTATTGCTGAAGGAACCATAAAAGTGAATTCTGTGCTGTTTAACATTTGGAGACCTGCTGTGTGCAGGCAGTTAAAAAACTCCATAGGTTTCTCCAAATAATTTAGGAGCATGTCCCAGGAGTCAGCTTCGAATTTGGGAAGGTATAGCTCTTCCTGATGTAGTGCATAGAAGCCAAAACCTTGAACCGGGTCTAGCTTTACAAGCACAAGTGGGTATTTTAGCACAATAGTTGTGAAATGCTTTGCGGAGGAAAGTGAAGAAAAAGAAAGGTTCTGGAAGGAAATACAGTAGCAAGGAAAGTATAAAATATTAAGATATACTGCACAGTGCATCTAATGAATGTTGTTGGTCTTTGGTGAGATGTGGATTCAAGGCTGGCAACTTGTGACAGTCAATTTCGTTCTCAGCTCTGACACACACAAATCTTGATCTTGATGATGCTTGTAGTGAAATTCCCAGTGACTTCAAAAGAACCAGGATGAATTTACTCTGTCCAACAGCCTTGTGCATCAATATTTTGATTGTTTGTCTGTTCAATACAGWAGCATGTATGTAGTTCATGAAAATACTGCAAGATTTATTAGGCAGTGTCTCAGTTTGAAAGACAGGTGTTTGCTGATGAAGGCAGGGACCCCCCTTGGAGTGGTGGATATGACCCCCCTTCCCTCCGAATTATTATAGCTTTGAAAATCACAGGCTTTCAGGCAAGAATATGGGCAAAAGGGAATAACAGTTTTTACTAATATATATAACAAGGTGAAACAAGTAACAATAACAATAGCAACAACCAGCCCAGTCCCAAACTCAGTGACAGCCTTACAGAGACACASCCTCCCCTTTGGTGCAGTTACAGTCCCAGCCGGCAGGGGCGCTGTTGGCTCCYGGCYGGRCAGGGCGGGTGCGATGATTCCCCGGYGGCTGCAGGGGRCGCTGTGGCGCGGGTCCCRGCTG